GGAGCTGAGGATCTACAAGGTCCCAAATCCTGGATCCCACGCCACCGAGCAGCACGTGGAACTCTACCAGGTTAGGACACTTTTGAACTCTGCGGTCACCGATTTGTGCATGGATGCTAAATCTCCTGTTTGGGATTTAGGCTGAGAAACTGACTAGGACAGCGGGCTTAGGAGCTTCAAATAATAATAATAATAACAAAGGCCTGAATTCTCTCCTTTCTAGGTGATGCAAGCTAGGGAGACTTCTGCCCCAACCCAGCGTTACGTGGGAAGCCGAATTTTACTCCCCAGGCATCGGGCCGAGTGGGTGTCATTTGAGGTCACTGATAGCGTCCGGCGGTGGCTGCGGAGCAGAGGTAAGGGCATCGCTCAGCGGGAAGACAGCAACAACAGAATGTAAGAACCAGAGGGAAAAGAGGTATTTTTTTTTTCTCTTGTAACTTTTGCTGTGTTTTTTTTCCACTCCATCAGGGAAGAAACTCAGTTTCACGCTGGGGTTGGGCTGTCCCTGTTGTAGTTCCACCCCGGCCTGGAACACAATCAATTCCCAGCACAGTAAGCCACTGGAAGCTCTCTTTGCAGGTATGTGGAGTGCTGGTCATGGATTATTGTAACTGTTTTACAGAAGAACAGAGCTGGAAGGGACCTTGGAGGTATTCTAGTCCAGCCCCCTGCTCAGGCAGGAGATCCTAGACCATTTCAGACAAATGGTGGTCCAATCTCTTCTTGAAAACTTCCAATGATGAGGGAGGAAGGGAAGGGAAGGGAAGGGAAGGAAGGAAGATGGGAGGGAGATAGGAGGGAGAGAGAGAGGGAGGAAGGAAGATAGGGAGGGAGGCAGGGAGGGAGGAAGGAAGGAAGGAAGAGGGAGGGAGAGAGGAAGGAAGGAAGATAGGAAGGAAGGAAGGAAGATGGGAGGGAGAGAGAGAGGAAGGAAGGAAGATAGGGAGGGAGGGAGGGAGGCAGGGAGGAAGGAAGGAAGGAAGGAAGGAAGATGGGAGGGAGATGGGAGGGAGAGAGAGAGGAAGGAAGGAAGATAGGGAGGGAGGCAGGGAGGGAGGGAGGAAGGAAGGAAGGAAGAGGGAGGGAGAGAGGAAGGAAGGAAGGAAGGAAGGAAGGAAGGAAGGAAGGAAGGAAGGAAGGAAGGAAGGAAGGAAGGAAGGAAAAAAAATCCCCTTGCAAAAGGGGATCACATGACCCTGGGACACTGCAACTGTCATAAATGTGAGTCAGTTGTCAAGCATCTGAATTGTGATCCTGCGATTGTGGGGAATGCTGCCACGGTCCTAAGTGTGAAGTCACAGTTGTAAGTCACCATTGTAAAGTATAGGACAGACTATGGAATGTGGAATGTGGAATGTGGAACATGGAACATGGAACATAGAATTTGGAAAGGAGGAGGAGGAGGAAGAGAATTGTGGAGTTCTTGATGCTCTTTGAGCTTGATGGTTCTCTTGCAGACATTTCTTGACCCAACCAGATAACGCCACCAGTACTAGGAAGATCATGTGTAGCAACTCCCCCCTCTGGCACTGATGACGTCACATAGTTTGGCTCATGAAACGTCTGCCAGAAAACCAGCAAGCCCAGAGAACACCAAGGACCCCTCAAAGTAGAAATAAGCCGTGTTTCCCCTCACATCCACCTGGTAAAGTTGACCGTGAGGATAACTCTTGTTAGTCCAGCATCTTCACCCTGCTTCACCCTGGCTGTGGATCAGTGACTTTGTCCAACTCTTCCTGCAGCCACAAAAATGCAGTGTGTTTTGTGTACATTTACAGGCCTGGATGACGTCCACATCAAGGAAGCATGGAAAGGCTGGTCCAGACCCCCGGATCTCACCCACAAAGACCCACACCTGATCCTCACATTGCTGCCCCCAAACCAGGTGGACCCTGCTCCGAAGGGCCGGCATCGCCGGGCAGCTAAGCCCCCCAACTGCCCCAGGTGAGAGACCTTGGTTTCGTCAAAGCATCCAACACAGAGGCACGGATTCCAACAATTTGCACAATCCTGCTTGATTTGCCAAAAAAAAAAAAAACAGGACCTGGAGATTTGGGGATACGTCGTCCTTGATATACAATCGTTTGTTTAGTGACCGCTCAGAGTTATGACGGCGCTGAAAAAGCAGGCTTGCGGCCATTTTTCCCCGCAACCTTCGCGGCATCCCCATGGTCACGTGATCAAAATCCAGATGACTCGTATTTATGACAGTTGTGACCTTCTTGTAAGCGAAGCTAGGACGGTGAAGTGAGTCCCTGCAGTTGTTAAGTGAGTAACAAAGTTGTGAAGTGAATCGGGCTTCCCCCATGGACTTTGCCTGTCAGAAAGTCGCAAAAAGGGGGTCACGTGGCCCCGGGCTGCTGCGAGCGTCGTAAATACGAGTCAGTGGCCAAGCGTCTGGATTTTGATCGGGTGGGGATGCTGCAACGGTCTAAGTGTGAAAAACGGTCATAAGTCACCTTTTTTTCAGT